ACCTCCACCTCCTGGGTTCAAGTGATTCTCCTGCCTCAGCCTCCTGAGTAGCTGGGACTACAGATGCGTGCCGCATCCAGCTAATTTTTGCATTTTTAGTAGAGACGGGGTTTCACCACGTTGGCCAGGATGGTCTCGATCTTTTGACCTCATGATCCGCTCTCCTTGGTCTCCCAAAGTGCTGGGATTATAGGCGTGAGCCACCACAGCCAGCCTGTTTTATTTTTTGAGACAGGGTCTCGCTCTGTCACTGGAGTGCAGTGGTGTGATCTTGGCTCACGGCAGCCTCAACCAACCGGGCTCAAGCGATCCTCCCACCTCAGCCTCCCAGGTAGTTCAAACCACAGGTGTGCACCACCGTGCCTAGCTGATGTTTTTATTTTTTGTAGAGATGGGGTTTCCCTATGTTGTCCAGGCTGGTCTTGAACTCCTGCACTCAAGTGATCCACCTGCCTTGGCCTCCCAGAGTGCTGGGATTCCAGGCGTGATCACACCGCGCCCGGCCTGCAGATAGGTTTAATGCCCCTCATTTGGTTTGATGTGCCGGGATAGGCCTGTCCCGGTCGCTGATCTCGTCCCACACTGAGGGGAGCGATTGGCATCTAGGAGCCAGTGTCAAAATCCTTTTGGCCACAGTTGAGCAGCAAGGTGGTGTGAGGAGAGTGTTCTCAGGCACAGTTGGCCTGGAGTCTGTTAAGCTCCGTTTTGTCTGCTCCACCTTCTTCTGCTGTCATCTCAAAGTGAGGGGCCAGCCTTCTTTTGTTGGGAGTTATACTTCTGCAAAAATTTGATAAGTAACAGGTATAAACTGGCCGGGTGCAGTGGCTCACCTGGCATCCCCGCACTTTGGGAGGCTAAGGCGGGTGAATCACCTGAGGTCAGGAGTTCGAGACCAGCCTGGCTAACATTGTGAAACCCGGTCTCTACTAAAATTACAAAAATTAGCTCGGTGTTGTGATTATAAAAATCCCAGCTACTCGGGAGGCTGAGGCAGGAGAATCGCTTGAACCTGGCAGGCGGAGGTTGCAGTGAGCTGAGGACCATGCCATTGCACTCCAGCCTGGATGACAAGAGCGAAACTCCATCTCAAAATAAATAAATGAAAATTTAAAAAAAAAAAGGGCTGGGTGCGGTGGCTCACACCTGTAAACCCAGCACTTTGCAAGGCCGAAGTGGACGGATCAGGAGATCAGGAGTTCGAGACCAGTCTGGCCAACATGGTGAAACCCCATCTCTACTAAAAATACAAAAAAGGAAAACTGAAGATCAGGCCGGGGTGTTGGAACATGCCTGTAATTCCAGTATTTTGGGAGGCTGAGGTGGGAAGATCACTTGAGCTCAGTGTAAGGTCTGACCGCACTGTGGACGGCATGGCAACCCCCATGAGCTGCAGGTATCCCTCCGGAGGTCCTTCCAGAATTAGAGAACCTGAAATGGCTGTAAAATCATGGAGAGGAAGAATGATCAACCCCTGTGGTGCCTGCTTAACTCTGAGACATTCCCTATTGTTTCTTATTGGGGCTTCAATTGACAAAGCCATTGGACTTTGTAACTGACTTTGGCCAACCCCATGACTCCACCCCCTACAACCGTTTCCCAGCTTGCAAAAAACTGCCCTAAACTGTAACGTTCCATGGCCCATCCCAAACCTATAAAACCAACTCCTATCCCACCTCCCTTCACTTTGGCCTCAGCCCGCCTGCACCCAGGTGAATCAACAGCCTTGTTCTCACACAAAGCCTGTTTTGGGGGGTCTCTTCATTCAGCACACACGTTTTAACACTCAGGAGGTCAAGGCTTCTCTGAGCCATGATTGTGCCACTGCCCTCCAGCTTGGGCAACAGAGCGAAACCCTGTCTCAAAAAAAAAAAAAAAAAAAAAAAAAAAAAAAACCCTGAAGACAAAGAGACAGTCTTGAAGGAGCCAGAAGACACGTCACATTGTCACATAACCTGCTGGGGAGCCAGGACACAAATGACCACTGATTCTCACTGTCTACGATGGAAGTCGGCAGACAATGGGATGACATTTATACAACAGTGTTTCCTTCAACACGAGGGAAAACAGTGACATTTTCAGTTATGTGAAAGATGAAACCACAGCGGATGGTCCTGGAATGACGGAGAAAGGCTGGAGGGAGATGATCCCAGAGAGACGCTGAGGCCTGCAGACGGAAATGAGGAGGCTTCTTTTCTCCAGAAGGCTTTGGAATTGTCTTTTCTCCAAACGGGTAAGTGTGGTAGACAGACGGTGATGTGACATCTCCAGTGTGGTCTGAGAGGCTCACAGACCTCCCAGAGCGGCTTCTCCATGCCAGCTGCTTTGCTCTGGGCTCTGAGTAAGTTGGAAGAATCCCGGAATAGGAGGGAGTGCCTCCAGATGACCCCGGGGAGGGACAGAATGCGCAGAGGACAGCCTCACACAGACATCTGTAGCCATCGTGCCTTGGTGCAGGGACTGCGAAGGACAGCACAGGCAACTCGTGGCCTCAGGCCTGGACTCGTGATGGAGGGTCAGACGGGACAACGGCTGTCCTGGTGGACACCTGCAGAGGTCCCCTCTCCCGCAGCCGAGGCTCACTACAGAGATAGCTCAGCCCCACGTGCCTGGGTCTCCAAGGCTCTGAGAAGAGCCTCCCAATGGTTCAGGTCAGGCGCTGGCTAAGTTTGTCACACAGGAGGCCTGAACTGCAGTGTTCACAAGGCCGCCTTTTCCAGGCCAGCTCCGCCTTCATCACACTCTTCCAGGAGGGAGTACCAGCATTTCTGGCACCCAACTAAGTGGGACTTGAGTGCAGATACATCCAGTCAGGATTTATGAGATACTTTTTTTCTGTCTAGCTGTTTTTTATTTCATGGAGAGGGAAAGGGGTTCAGTCTTTCTTGGCAGTGGCTTTCCTCATGGCAGCCAGGACCTTGCTCAGCTTTTCCCACTTCCTTTGGCGCAGATGTGCGTCCCCAGCCTTTTCTTGATGAACTTGAAGGTCTGTTTGTCCTTGGAGCCCTTCAGGAACTCCATGGTGCCCTGCTCGTAGAAGCAAAGCCACACACCTCCCTGATCATTTCCTGCATGAACTTGGTGTGTTTGGTGAGACGCGGAGGCTGTGCCTGGGCTTGCTCACGTTCTTGGTCACCTTGAGGCCCCTGTTGAGGCCCACGGCCACAGGGTAGCGAAGAGCCATGGCTGCCGTGGCGGAAGGGGCTTTACGGGATATTTCCATGCAGTTCATTCGCATCCTTGCTGGCCACCTGAGGCTCTGGAGTCCTTAGGGGAACCGAGCCTGGCGCTGGAAGTCCGAGGGGAGCAGAGAAGCAAGGTTTGTATGTACAGAGCCAGCAGTGGGTCCGCAAATTTCTTCCAATCATCCAGTGTGAAAAACAGCAAGATTCAACTTCCCACTGCCTGCTTAGAATGAGTTGTCTCCTCTGAGGAGTGCATTTGGGAATGCAGCAATTCCAATTTAATACAGCATTTATTTACGTTTTCTTTTTGGTTGGGGATTGCATTTATCAGGATTCTTGCTTGTGGAGCATAAACCTGCAGCAGTGCTCCGGGGAGCTCGTCCATTCAAAGCCCGGAAGTCCGTACTGACCATTTGGATCAGCGGTGGCCCACGCCTGTAATCCAGGCTTTGGGAGGCAGAGGCAGGAGAATCAATCGAGCTCGGGAGTTCCAGCCAGGGCAACACGGAGTCCCCATCTCTATCCCACAAAATACAAAAATTAGCCAGGTGTGAGGGCCGCACCTACAGTACCGGCCATTTGGGAGGCTGAGGCAGGAGGATCGCCTGAGCCCGGGTCGTCCAGGCTGCAGCGAGCTGAGGGCGCCGCTGTGCTGCAGCGTGGGCTACAGAGCGACAGCCCGTCTCCAAAAATGAGAACCTAAAAGAGTTGTTCGATGATAATGCAGAGCTTGGCTGTAACGCGGTAATACAGCAGGATCGTCGTGTAACAGATCACTTATGCGTTACAGAAAATACACATAGCAAAACCATTCATGTTTGCGACCCATATTTTCACAGTTTTGCGTTCTTTTTCTTAAAAACAGCGGCACCCCGCACTGCATTTCGGGCCCCAAGGGCGTCGTCCTAGCGCACAGCTCCCAGCCGCGCAGGCGGCAAAACAAAGCGGTCGGCCCCGCGCGAGAGCGGGGACCCGGCGCTCGCTCCGCCCGCACGGCCCGGCCGGGGCGCGGGGCGCGGGGCCCGGGGCGACGCGGGGCGCGGGGCCTGCGCGTTGGGGCGCCGCCGCCATCCGCGTGTGCTCGGAGACCGTGGGGCCCGGCTCAGGGGTCCTCCCGACCCGCGCCCCGCGTGGCCGCCGCGCCCCGCCGGGCCGGGCCACGACGTCCCCCTCCCCACGCCGCCGGAGCGCGGCCGGGCGTCCCGCAGACGAGCCGAGCGCCGATTGGCCCCGAGCACGGGAAGGCCCGCCCCCGCGAGCCGCCAGCCAGTGGGAGCCGGGGGCGGGGCCGCGCCTCAGCCGCCGGAAGCGGGGCGGCGCCGGGGGACGTCGCGTCACCGCGCCGGGTCGGTAGCAGCTACCGCGGAGCCGCCGGAGGGACGCCCGCCTTCGCCCGCCATGGCCGAGAGCGACTGGGACACGGTGACGGTGCTGCGCAAGAAAGGCCCTACGGCCGCCCAGGCCAAGTCCAAGCAGGTGCTTCGCTGACTGAGGAGCGCCCGGGCCGGGCGCGGCGGACGCTGGGCCGGAGCCGCGGCCCGTGGGGCAGGGGGCTCCGGGAAGGGCAGGCGGGGGCCGGGACAGGGCGCGGGGGACGCGGACAAGGCCGGGGTGCCGGGCGAAGGCCGGGGTTCGAGGGGCGCGGCGTGTCGCCGCAGCAGGAGGACTGGGCCAGGACCGGGGTGGGAAGGTGGGGGGCGGACCCGGCTGGGGATGGAGGCAGGGTGCGGGCGACAGGGGAAGGAGAGGGGCAGGGAACGGGACGGGGCAAGGGGCAGGCGACAGGGCTGGGACCAGTGCCAGGCTGGGGCGGGGAGGGGACAGGGCAGGCGCTGTTGGTGGGGACAGGTGTGAGGACAGATGCAGGAGGTGGGGCCGGGGGCGGGGACGAGGCGGGGGTCCCTGTGTGAGGGTGGGGGACAGAGGACCAGGGTGGGCACGGGAACAGGGGGAGGGATGGAGGTGGGGACGGGGCTTGGGAGGGCAGGATTTAGGACAGGGGTGGGGACTGGGGCAAGCAGCAGGAACAGCGGTGAGGGTGGGGAATTGGGGTTGGGATAGGGCTGGGGGCCAGTGGCCAGCAGTGGAGGGACTGGGGCGGGAGACTGGGTGACTGGGACAGAGGCTGGTGAGCTGAGTAGGAGTTGAGGACAGGGGATCGGTTCCTCCCTGAGAGCTTTCTCTCTGCCTGGGGCCTGCTTTGTTCTGCTGGTCAGATGCTGCCCCAGGTCTGGGGAGTCTAGGGACCCCATGAGCAGGTGGACCCTGCCTCCCCCAGTTGCACGGGTGGAAGATGGGTGTGCCCTGAGCATTAGCGTGGCTGTTGGAGCCGAGGATCAGCTGTGAGTCTGATGTAACAGCAGGGACAGTTCAGTCCCCGCCTCTGCCTCATGTATACCCTCAGGCGGCCTAGGGCTGAAGCCTTTGAGGCCACTGGGCCAGGATGTGCTGGGCTCTGGTGACAGATATTCGTTGGTCTGCCCTGCCCTTATGGGTTGCACAGTCAAAACCAAATTCACTTTCCTTTTCTTTTTCTTTTTTTTTAAGACAGAGTCTCACTCTCTTGCCCAGCCTGGAGTGCAGTGGTGTGATCTTGGCTCACTGCAACCTCTGCTTCTGGGTTCAAGTGATTCACCTGCCTCAGCCTCCCTAGTAGCTGGGATTACGGGCGTGTGCTACCATGGCCCGGTTAATTCTTGTGTTTTTAGTAGAGATGAGGTTCCACTATGTTGGCCAGGCTGGTCTCGAACTCCTGACCTTGTGATCCACCCACCTCAGCCTCCCAAAGTGCTGGGATTACAGGCATGAGCCACTGCGCCCGGCCCACTCTCCTTTTCTTTTAAAGGAAACTTTTTTTTTTTTTTTTTTTGAGACAGAGTCGGGCAAGATGGTCTCAATTTCCGGACCTCATGATATGCCCGCCTTGGCCTCCCAAAGTGCTGGGATTACAGGCATGAGCCACTGCGCCCGGCCCACTCTCCTTTTCTTTTAAAGGAAACTTTTTTTTTTTTTTTTTTTGAGACAGAGTCGGGCAAGATGGTCTCAATTTCCGGACCTCATGATATGCCCGCCTTGGCCTCCCAAAGTGCTGGGATTACAGGCGTGAGCCACCGCGCCCAGCCTCTTTTAAAGGAAACTTAGTGGCCACAAGCTAGGAGTCATGGAAACAGTTGTGTCTGTGAACACATTAGTTAGGATGCCCCACAAGTCACGTCTCTGAAGTGTTAAAAATGTCCAGAAATGCATGATATTAATATTCAGTGACTGCAGGTCCAATGGCATCACCGTTACTGCTGATGTTTCTGAGGAGCCTGCAGGCTTCCATGCGATGTGTCATTTCTGTGCTACTAGGAGCCAGAGTTGGGGAGGAAGGCAGCACCAGGCCAGCATTTGGCGTTCCTTCCTGCTTTTGCAGTGCAGTCCAGCAGAAAGTAAATCTATGCTGAATATGATTTCTCAAAAAGAACCCACTAGCGCATACCTGCTATTCAGGAGGGAGGCTGAGGCCAGAGAATCACTTGAGCCCAGGAGTTCCAGACCAGCCTGGTCCACATAGCATGACCACGACTCTAAAAAAAAAAAAAAAAAAGCCCTTAGGCCGGGCACGGTGGCTCATGCCTGTCATCCCAGCACTTTGGGAGGCCAAGGTGGGCGGATCATGAGGTCAAGAGATCAAGACCATCATGGCCAACATGGTGAAACCCCATCTCTACTAAAAATACAAAATTTAGCTGGGCGTGGTGGCGTGTGTCTGTAGTCCCAGCTACTAGGGAGGCTGATGCAGGAGAATTGCTTGAACCCGGGAGGCGGAGGTTGCTATGAGCCGAGATTGTGCCACTGCACTCCAGCCTGGCGATGGAGCGAGACTCTGTCTCAAAAAAAACAAAAAAGCCCTTAGTGTTTGTTTCTCACAGCAAAGGAAGTGATGTTCTCTTAGTAGCAGCGTATTGTGAGTTTCTTGGATGTTTGATTGTAGAGGCTTTTGTATGAGTTTGGGGTTTTGTTATACTTAGAGAGTGTCTCACTCTGTCACCCAGGCTGGAGTGCAGTGGCATTATAGTATGCCACAGCCTCAAACTCCTGGGCTCATGTGATCCTCCTGCCGTAGCCTACCTATCAGCTGGGACTACAGCCTTGCACCAGGATGCCTGGCAATTTATTTTTATTTTTTTGTCGAGGCAGGATCTTGTGTTGCCCAGGCTGGTCTTGAACTCGTGGCCTCAAGTGATCGTCCTATTTCAGTTTACCAAAGTCCTGGCATTACAGGTGTGAGCCACAGTACCTAGTTGAGCTTGGGTAATTGAACGCAGCACTGCGTGTCAGTCCCTGGGCACCACTAGTCCTCAGCAGCGTGCTAACTGGCTAAAAGCTGGCCGGAATTGGTGTGTGCTGGATGCTGCCAAAGTTCGTTTTGACCAACTAATGTTTTCCCTTTTTCTAGGCTATCTTAGCAGCACAGAGACGAGGAGAAGATGTAGAGACTTCCAAGAAATGTAGGTGCTTGTGTTTCTGCCTTGACAACGAGGCTGTGCCTTGGGGTCCGTGTGCCGGTGTGTGTGGTGTGAGCGGCACCCCCAGGGACGTTGTCAGCTGCACGCCTGCCTGCACTGATGCTGGCCGGAGCCCTGGGAGGCAGTGATCTTCCCAGAGCAGCTCTGGTTGGCACGCGTGCAGCTGCCTGTCCCCATAACTGAGAGAAAACTCTGGAAGTCCATGCCCTGAGGTCTGTGAACGTTGGACAGTCTGGTTTCCCATGTCCCCTTGAGCTCAGGCAGCCTCTGGGATTTGGTTACCACTCTGAAATTGTTTTTTTTCTCCCTCTTCTCTGCTCTTGCCTCACACTGACTCCAGGGGCTGCTGGCCAGAACAAACAGCATTCTATCACCAAGAACACAGCCAAGCTGGACCGGGAGACAGAGGAGCTGCACCATGACAGGGTGACCCTGGAGGTGGGCAAGGTGATCCAGCAGGGCCGGCAGAGCAAGGGGCTCACGCAGAAGGACCTGGCCACGGTGAGCCTGCGCCGGCCCTCATCCTCCCGGGGCTGTCGGCTTGGGGAGGGGGCGGCCAGCGCTCAGACAGCACTCGGAGTGTGGACTCCACCCGCCTGATGCTCCTTTAGGGAGTGTCTTGGGAAGCAGGTCTGCCGGGCTTTCACGGAGACCCGGCTGCATGTGGCTGTGCACCCCAGGGGCCCCAGAAGTGGTTGTTCTCGGGTGACGCTTCTGGGAGGTGGTGCCCTGCGGGGTGTCCCACCTGGTTCACAGCACGTCCTAGTGGAGCGGGTGTGTATAAAGCACATCTTCTCTTTAGAAAATCAATGAGAAGCCACAGGTGATCGCGGACTATGAGAGTGGACGGGCCATCCCCAATAACCAGGTGCTGGGCAAAATCGAGCGGGCCATCGGTGAGTGTCCCTCCACTCCTCGGCCTGGGCAGGGAGGCCACCCGCTCCCAGCTGGGATTGGTGAGAGCCAGGCTCAGGGGTTGAACACGGCCCTGGGGTCCCTTGTTGTCTGGATTCTGGAGCTTTGCTTCTTCAGGCAGTACAGACTAAGGAATAGTGAGGGCTCTGCAGGCCTCAGAAACTCCCCAAGAGCAAGTGGCGTCCCAGCCAGTCCCTTCAGCCTGTGCAGCTGGCAGGGCTCTCTGAGCCTGAGCACAGTGGGGCCGGGCCCTGGCACGTGGGGCTGGAAGCCAGTTCTGCAGAGGACTCTGGTTCTTCCGGAGAAGGGTCTCGTGTTCTGTCAAGGATGATGAGACTCATCCTCTTTTTTTTTTTTTGAGATGGAGTTTCGCTCTTGTTACCCAGGCTGGAGTGCAGTGGCGCGATCTCGGCTCACCGCAACCTCCGCCTCCTGGGTTCAGGCAATTCTCCTGCCTCAGCCTCCTGAGTAGCTGGGATTACAGGCACGCGCCACCATGCCCAGCTAATTTTTTGTAGTTTTTTTTAGTAGAGACGGGGTTTCACCATGTTGACCAGGATGGTCTCGATCTCTTGACCTCGTGATCCACCCGCCTCGGCCTCCCAAAGTGCTGGGATTACAGGCTTGAGCCACCGCGCCCGGCCTGAGACTCATCCTCTTAAAGATTAGATGTGAGGCCCAGGAGTGCTCCTGTGGCGAGAGCTCCGTGAGGAACGGAGTGGCGTGGTCCTCCTTCCCAGCAGGTGTTGGAGAGGGGCGGCGTTGGGGCAGGAGGGTGCTGGCGCTGCAGTGGCCAGTGGTTGTGGCTCGTTTCAGGCCTCAAGCTCCGGGGGAAGGACATTGGAAAGCCCATCGAGAAGGGGCCTAGGGCGAAATGAACACAAAGCCTCGAAATCAGTGCGCTCCGGCTGATCTCGTTCCGCGGGTTCCCCTTGGCCGCCAGCACCGCCGTGGGTCTCCTCACGGGCCGAGCGGAACAAGGGGTCCAGCTTTTGGGGGCCTCCCCAGCCCATTCCTGCTGTCAAACAAACAAAACCTTGCAAGGCGTTGGCTTCTGCTGACTTTTTCTATCTGCGGCACGTTCCTCAGATTGGGGTGCAGAACTCGGTCTTCCTGTCTGTCCTGCCTAGTAGTAGGGTGTCTGCCTAGTAGCAGTTGTGGCTCAGAAGCCTTGGGGAGCTCTGAGCACCTCTTTACATGCAGGTGGGGGGTGGGGGCCCGAGGCGCAGAAGGAAGGGAAGCGGGGCCACGGGATGCGACTCTAAAGAGAAACTGGGAGAAGTTGCTGCCCTTGGCGCCCAGGCAGGTCATACGGTCCTGCTCTCAGCTCCCAGGCCCCTAGTTATAGGGAAGGCCAGTGAATTGTCATGACTGGTGCCTGGTAGTAGGGTGCCAGAGGGCTCTCAAGGTCTCTACAGGGTCATTTTCTCTTTGCACATCTGTGTGGACAGGTAGCGGGCACTGGTCAGCCCCACAGCACCTGAAGACGAGGGACAACTCTAGGCATGCCTGACTGCCACTTTCTGCTAGGACTTAGTCCCCAGAGCAGACGGGAGCCCAGTGGCTGGCAAGGGTGCTATGCTGTGCCCTCTAGCACCGCCTGGCTCCTGGGGCAGATGTGTGTCCATGAGGCAGGGTGGGGCTTTCCTGTGGGCAGGAGGGGAGCCTGGCTGCACAGCTCTGGAGTTGCCACCCTCCCCCCACTCCGTGGGGACAGCCACCCACAGCCAGGCCTGAGAGGCCACAAGACTAGGTCCTACCCACGGGGCTGTGCCCGGGTCACCCATGTGGAGGACCAGAGCTCTGTGAGCTGACTGAGGTTAGTGATGTTGACCCTGCTTCAGGATGGTAGTCCTCTGCTGGCGCCCCGGATTAGTCACAGCTTCACAGGGACAACCTCCTGCTCAGGCACGGGGGCCAAAGGGAAGGGTTCGGCTGCAGCCCTGGGGCACCCGGTGACCTGGGCACTGTGACCCGCAGCCCTGGGGCAGCTCAGGCCTGTACTGCAGATAGTGGGCCCGTCCAGGGCACTTCTCCCATCCAGGCCTGCTCCGTGCACCCTTTGCCCTAAGGATCATCTCCTCTGCTGGTCCCTGAGCCTATGGGTCAGTTTCACCATTGTCCTCAGTAGGCAGACCCTCTAGCTGGCTGGACCCCAGCCTTTGTCCTAGGTGGGTCTGTGTCCTGGTGGGAGAGGGTCCTCTTGTCTGTGTTTCCTGAGCTGCATACAGAAGTAAGCAGGCGCCCCTGGCACATTCCTGGGAACGTCACTTCTAGGTACACTGCAGCCCCCACCCTTGCTGGCGGGTAAAGTGTGGACACACTGACTTCAGCCTGGGAGCTCGGGCTGCCCTCACGGGCCGGGGCGTTTATTCACACGGGAACAGACTCGCACAGGGTAAGGGACGCCCAGGCCTCAGCGTGCCCTGAGACCTGCAGCCGGGCCCAGTCTGGGCAGGAGCAGGTGTCCAGTCCCCAGCCGGGGTCTGACCAAGCGCTGGATGTCACGTGAGGAACCGTGGCCTTGTTCGGGGTGCTCTACAGATCGCTGGTGACAGATGCTGGGAGGGTGACGCCATCCTAGGAGGAGGAGGAGGAGGAGGAGCTTTGACTGTGGCTGGAGAGGCTGGGCAGGGAGGGCAAGGATGGGCCCTGCACAGATGGGCGCTCCTTCCTCGGGGGTTGGTCCCACCACTGCCCGCCCTCCAGGGTCACAACTGAGCGGGGGCTCCTGCCCACCCATCCCCAGGGTGCTCCTACTACATTGAAAAGGATGTTGTCAAAGTTGGGGGCTGTGGTCTCTGTGCTGCTCTGGAAGGGGCAGCTCCCCCTCTTCTGCAGCCAGCGCCGCCCCCCAAGTCCCAGCAGCACCAGGAACATGAGGAACAGGAGGGCACCACCAACCACAGCTGGCACTGGCACAGGCGTGGCTGTGTCCCCTGTGGGTGGTGGGGATGAGTGAGCCCGGGAACTTGTGTTCTCTAAAGCAGCCCCCCATGTCTGAGGCTCAGGAGCAAGCCTGGGGCTGCCTGATCCCATCAGCCTCTGCTGGCTCCTGGGGTTCATCCTTTTCAGAGACAGCGGGGATTGGTTTTGCCAGCACAAGGTTGGGGCCTGGTCTGCAGGCAGCTGCTGTCCAAAGACTTGGCGGGGCTCATGGCCCCAGGTGAGATCCTTGCCTTCGCCCAGTGAGAGCAGTCAATCAGTGACTGCTCTGACCTGGCTAGCGGCTCCTCCAAGACAGACCCTGTCCTGGGTGTAGGCACAGAGAAGGCAGCCCAGGGACAGTGCAGCCCAGGCAGTGGCCCCAGGGTGACTGGGGCAGAGAGTGGGAGTGGGGATGGGCTGGGTGCAGCGTGCTCGCAGCTCCTAGGGCCACACACTGGCAAGCCTAGCAAACCCTGTGCCAGGCTGCCCCCCCAGGCCCTCCCCAGTGCCTCCATTGCAGCCCAGGGCTCACCCGGGCTGGGGGCAGGCTGCTGGCAATGCTGCCCTGCCAGATACTCCACGTCGTCCAGGCCAATGGGCCCCAGGGCTGGCTGGCCGCCCAAAGTGGCTTCAAACACGATCTGACGGAGAAGGAAAGGCGTCTGTGTAGGTCCTGGGGGGAAGAGGGGGAGGCTCCTGGCCCAGACAGGTGGCCTTACCTGGAACTCCTTGGCGCTGGCCACCTCCACCTGGGCCTCCAGCCACTGGTGCCGACGGTGCCCGCCTGCGCCCCACACGGCCAGCTGGCCCTGGGCACTGTGTAGCAGCACCCTCAGCTCCCCCTTGTCTGAGAGCAGGGCCAGGGCGTGTCAGGCCTGGGGTCCCAGGACACCTGCACACCTCACCGGGGGTGGGGTGGGGAGGCCCCTTCCCAACCTCTGCTCCTGGACCCCTGCTGCCCCCACTGTCCTGGCACCCATTGCCCAGCCAGACTCACAGAAGTGCTCAGGAAAGCCCATGTGGTACCAGAATCGGAGGCAGGAGACTGGGGTGGCCGGTAGAGGCTCACTTCGCAGCCAGGCGGCCCGGCCCCCGGGGCCCAGCACGCCAGTTTCAAAGAAAGCGAAGTGGCCTGGAAACAAGAGGAGGCTGATGCCCAGCTGATGGGCAGAGCCAGCCCTCGGCCCAAGCAGAGGCTGGATGGGGAGTGTGCCCTGTGGGTGGGCAGCAGGAGGCCGGGTGGCTGTGTCTGGCTTCTGGGTCCCCTCCTCACCTGGCTCCAGCAGAACGTACCTGCTTCTGTGCCCAGGGTGTGGTCCACTGGGGGCTGGAGGTAGCGAGAGGGTGCGGCTCCCCCGCCCCAGTCCCAGCTGTACCCACCCAGGCCGGGCCGCGCCAGGTGGTTCCAGCCACACAGGCCAGACTCAAAATCACAGGAACCTGCAAGGCATGGTTGGGTGAGTGGTGCTGCCCTTGGCCCAAGCCCTGGCCACCACCACTGTGGGGACAAAAGGGACAGGCAGGCCCCAGAGCAGGGGCCACCGTGGGCCACAGCAGGGCTCCCACCTGGCTGAGGGCAGGGCCCATCCTGGAGGAGCAGGTCATCCACAGCCACGTAGGAGTGTGCCACGCCTGTGCCCACTGCCTCAAACATCACCTGGCGGGCGCAGGCAGGGCAGCCTCAGCGGGTCCAGGCAGTCCTCGGGTGGGGGAGGGAGAGGGGCACCCCAGCTAGTACTCACCCTCCAGGCTTGCTCAGCCTGCACGTCCACGCTGCCCAGGCGCCAGGCAAGCCCTTCGTGGGCACTGAGGCTGAGCACCTGGTACCTCCTGCCCTCCTCCAGGTGGACCTGCAGGGCGCCTGCCAGCAGGGGCAGCCCAGGTGAGCAGTGTGGGAGAGTGACTGCATGCCCTGGCCCTGAGCTCCCGGGCTCCCTGGTCTGGCGGGTGCAAGAGGCTCCCCACTGGTCTTAGCAGAAGGCTGGTGGGGACACCAGGCCAAGCTTCCCTGAACCCCTGGGGCCCCCTCCCAGAGCCCCTCACCTGGGCTGAAGAGGCTCCCATGGTACCAGAAGGTCAGGCAAGCAGGCTGGGCCAGGGGCCTGTGCTCCCTGGAGGTCAGGGAGGCCGTCTGGCCCCGGGGCAGTGCGTCTGGGCTCGTGTCCACCACCATGTAGTGCCCTGGAGGTGCCAGCATCAGCCTGCCAGCCCCTGGCCAGCCCCTCGATCCCTGCCCCTGCCAGGTCCCCGTACCTTGGGCCGTCTCTGTGGTGTGGTCTGCTGGGGGGCCCCAGGCAGCATGGCCTGAGGCATTGGTCTGGCGTCTCCAGAGACTCTGGCCTCCAGGGGAGAAACCGCAGTCCGAGTCCTCAAAGGAGCAGTAATCAGGGGCCCAACAGGGGCCAGGCCGCATGGCCACGTCGTCCAGCGCCATGGTGCCGTGGTATCCGTCCCGGAGGCCCTCAAACAGCAGCTGGGGGTGGAGGGTGTCAGCCGGCTGGGGGTCTGCCCTGTCCTCCCACCTGGGCACCAGGCCTCACCTGGTACGGGGCCCGGGAGCCAGGCTGGTGGGAGAGGGTGGCCCAGGCCTGGTGCCAGCGGTTGCCATGGGTGCCCGACCGTGACCAGAGGTGCGTGTCCTCCCCTTCCCGTCTCATGTCCAGGCGCAGGGTTCCTGCCAGGAGGGGACCAATCCATAACCGATCTCTCTCCTGAGCCTCATGGGTGTCAGAGGGGAAACTGAACCCCTGGGGGCCTCCCCACAGGCCCTGCCCTGCTCCCAGGCCCACTCACCAATCTGGGGCCCGTGGAGGTGGTACCAGAAGCTGAGACACTCCGTGGGCGCTGCTGGCACCTGGGGCCTGGAGAGCAGGTGTGCGCTGTGGCCCCGGGCCAGGGGGTCTGTGGGGTCCAGGAGCATGAAGTAGCCTGCAGGGGACACAGGGGACAAGGCTGAGCTGTAGAGATGCCCTACCCCCCTCTGAAAGCCACCGTCTCAGTGGCCCGTCCTACCTTGGCCTGTGGTGTGGTCGTGCTTAGGGCCACGGCTCTCCACCCTGTGCCAGTGTGCGTCTGAGAGGTGGCTTGGGTACCAGCTGCACGTGTCCCGCTCAAAGTTACAGGAGACCTCTGGGGGCGGGGCCAGGTGGCGTCACACACAACCCCCAGCACCCTCCAGAGCCCTGAGATGGCAGCTCTGGGGTCCCTGGAGGTGGTCTAGGGGGAGTGCCCGGGTGAGAAGGGGGATGGGCAGGAGGGACCTCTGTCTCTCTTGGTGGTCACCATGGGGCTACAGTCCCTCAGGGTCACGTTGTCCACACCAGCTCCCTGCTGGTAAGGGCTGTCCAAGTCCACCAGACCGACAAACTCCAGCTTCATGGGGAAGGGGGATGAGGAAGAGGATGGTTAAGTCAGGGTCCGCGCCCGTGGACCCCCGCTCTGGGCTGCCCTCCTCACCCGGAACGGCCGGCGGCGGGCCCCTAGAAGGACCTTGTCCACCTTCCAGCCACCTGCACTGCTGCTCAGGGCCTGCCATGCCAGCTCCCGGGACCCGCTGTCCACCACCACTAGTGCCAGGAAGCCTGGCCGGCAGGGCAGGGGACACTGTGGGTCAGGTGGCCCCAGACCCCTCCCATTGTGCAGGGAGCACCCAGGAGCTGGCAGGGGAGCTCGTGGAGGGCAGCGGTACCTTGGGGCTGACTCTGCAGATGGTAAGCCAGGTGGAGTTCACAGCTGGGGCCAGAGGGGCCAAGCAGAGGTGTAAGGACCCGGGCCTCCGCACCCAGCTGCCCCCAGGCCCTCTGCAGAGACAGGAAGTGACCTAGGGGAGGAGGGAGGTGCTCAGAGCCGCATTCCTGCCAGAGCCCCACTCTTTCCCTCAGGGACCCCCAATCCAGAGACCCTCTGTAGTGCAGGGTCAGAGCAGAGATCCCTCTGAGGATGCTGCTCACAGGTGAGCCGTGGCCCCCAGGCGGGGCTTGGGTACGTAGGCCTCACCAGTAGCAGCTGCACCGGCTCCCTGACTCTCCTGGGCTGAGAGCCGCTGCCACTGCAGCCGCCCCACGCTGGCATCTTCCCAGCCCCCGGCTTCGGGGGACTCGAAGTCCGTGGTTCCTGGAACAGCAGGCGGCACTAAACCGCAGAGACCTCCACCCACCCCACGCCCATCCCTGCCCGTTTGGCCTGCAGCAGGAGGTCTGCAGGATGCTGAGCCCCTTTACCACAGGCCTGCTCGTCCTCGTTCCCTGCACACTGCTGCTGGAAGTCACACAGCTGTTCCGGGGGCACACACAGGTCCCCACAGGCGAGATGGCCCTGCTGGCAGAAGTCCTGGAGCCGAGAGCTGGGCGGCAGGGGCCCGGGGGCTGGGGCCCAGGGCCCAGGAGGCAGCGGCTGTGGGGTGGACACCTCTGTGGGGGCAGAGCTTGGGTCAGGCGGCGGGGGTGGGGAGTGCTACGCAAGGCAGGGCAGGGTCAGCAGGGGTCAGCAGGCTCACCCGGGACTGGTCTGCAGTGCTCAGACAGGATGAGGTCGTCCAGGCCCACCACACCCCCCGGGCCTGTCTGCCCGGTCAGGAGGATCTGAGGACAGAAGGGCTCTGGGTGCTCAGCCTATTCCCCCTGGGGGCTGCTCCCTGTCCACCCACAGGGGGCACCCTGTGGGCTCCCCTCCGCTGCCCACAGTGCAGTTCTCCAGACCCCACCCTCTTGCTGTTCCTCACCTGGAAGGGGTGGGCACTCTGGATGTCAATGCGGTCTCGGACCCAGGCGGTCCCCAGCTCCCCTCGGCGCCTCCGCAACAGGACTGGGGCCTGGGGGGTGCTGGACCCCAGAGTCTGCAGGAACAGCTGGAGGCAGCCGGCCTCGGACCCGTGCAGGTAGTAATAGAAGACCAGCTGTGGAGCCAAGAGCTGATTGGGAGCCCCTGCACCCCAGCAGCCAGCACGGAGACCCTGTGACATCCCCCCCCCACCCGCCCCACTGTCTCACCGAGCAGCTGGAGGCGCCTGAGGCTTGGAGCTCGGGGCTGGAGAGCACAGCAGGATTGCCAGGCTCGGCCACGGAGACCAGGAAGTAGCCTGCGGGAAAAGGCGAGCGTGAGCCGGGGCCACCGGGCTGTGGCCAGGGGATGGGGCCCGGCTGGGTCCCCTGTGGGCCTCACCCTGCGCACTGTTCCGGCTGTGGTCACGGCACGGCCAGGCGGGGTGCTCGAGACCGCCAGCGCTGTGGTTCCGGGCCCAGCCTTCTGAGCGGCTCCATAGGCCCAGGCCTGTCTCAAAGTCGGTGACCGTGTGCTGGCCTGGGACGGGAAGTGGGGCTGTCAGAGCCACCAGGCAGTGCTTCCCAGCTCCAGGGTGGCCCCAAGAAGGACCATCCAAGGATCCAAGGTGCCCACTCCACCAAGTCATCCGATCACCTGGTCTCACTCTGGGCCCCACCCTGGCCTCACCACAGGTGCGTGGGTCCTCATCAGACAGGTCCCCACAGTTGTCTTCCCCGTCGCAGAGTTGCTGGGGCTCCACGCAGGCCTTGTTCTGGCAGTGGTGGTGTCCCAGGGGGCAGCTGGCCTGGGGGGCTGGGTGGAGCAGGGTTAACCCCTTACGGAGGCCCCGGAGTGGGAGGGCACTCGGGGGCAGACAAGGTCTGAGCGGGGCAGGGGCAGGTGGGGCCCTCCCAGGGTGGGACAGGAAGAGGCGGTGCCTTACTGGGCAGCCAACAGTCCCAGAACTCCAGGTCATCTAGAGCCACGGCGCCCCTGTGGGTAGCGTTTCGGGTGGCAGAGAAGGTCACCTGAAGAGAACAGGAGCTCTCAGGACCTAAGTCAAGGCCCAGACACCCCCAAGGCCCCCACTCGTCCAGACCCCCCCAGCTCACTCGGAAGTCACCCTGGATGCGGCCTGTGGTCACTGCCAACTCCTGCCAGCCGGGGCCCCAGGACCCTGTGCTCTGCCACAGGGTCAGGGTCTCTGCGCCATGGGTCAGCTCCAGCCGCAGCTCAGCCACATCTGCAGTGTCAGGGGTCCCAGGCAGCTGCAGCCCTGCCCCTCCTCAGCTGCCCTGCCTCTCCTGGAGCCACCTGCCCTCCCCTTGGGCACCCCCCACAGGCCTTGGGGGTTCAGGGCGCACCTCCAGAGGCCATGTGGTACCAGAGCCTCAGCTTGCAGGAGGGGGCTGCCTCTCGCAGGGTGGGCGAGCGCAGGGCTGCAGTGGCCGCCTCTTTCCCTTGGTGGGTTCCGACAGCCATGTACCATCCTGGCCCAGGTGAGAGGTCAGGAGATGGGGCAGGAAGCAAGGAGGGCGGTGGGGCAGGGGCGCGCGGAGACTCGCCCTGGCCTCACCCAGGTCGGTGCCCAGCGTGTGGTCTGAGCGAGGCCCGGGACCCTCCAGCGCAGCCCCCGCCCTGTCTCGGAGCCAGCTGTAGCCCGAGGTGCTGATGTCCCGCCAGCCGCAGGCGTCCCGCTCAAAGTCGCAGGTGAAGGGGGTGCCCGGGGCGGGCGAGGCCCCGTGGTAACCTGGGAGAGTGGATGGTCAGACATGTGCCGGCCGTGCTCACATGGGCCCTGCCCGCCTGTCCGGCCCTGGCTCACCACACTGGGCCTCATCGGAGCAGTCCCCGCAGTCACACACGAAGTTGCACACAGCCTGGCTGGGGCTCCTGCAATGGCTGGGGACCCAGGCCCAGCCTGGGGACCCTGCTGCTGGGAGGGTGACAGCCAGGTGGCCTGGGGGCAGGGTGAGCAGCATCCCACTCTGCCTCGGACTGTCCAGTTTTAGCATTGGACGTCCTTTGCCCAGGGAAGCCCCTCAGACCAGAAGATGGGGCAGGGAGGAGCCAGGACCCACAGAGGACTCCCACCCGGCTCTACGCCAGGACCAAGCGCAGCGCATTCCTGTTTCCAGCCCTGAAGAGACGGGCAAAGGGCCTGGGCATGCGTGGGAATGAGGACCCTGCCATGGGGCACCCCCAGAAAGGCAGCAGGATCCCAGTGTGCCCAGCTGGGAACTGGGCACTGGGAAGGTCCTCCAGTGGGAGGCATTGGTGGGTGGCCCAGGGCCCTCCACAGGCTCCACCCAGTCCAAGCGTGGCAGAGCTAGGGGCACCTCCTGAGCCCTCTCGTCCCATACTGGGAGGGGAGTCTTGCCTCTTCCTTTGCTTGGCAGGCCCGAGGCCCCATGGGCTGATGCCAGGTCAGCCCTGCAGTCCTCCTTCCCTCTGGGGCTCGGGCATCATCACTGCTGCCCAGATGGCAGGCTCAGAAGCCAGAGCCCCCCGTCCTGCTTCAGGAGTGGGATCGGATGACTTACCCAGGAACAGGACCAGGATGGGCAGCAGGTGGCCGGGCAGAGGCATGGCTGGGTCAGAGGGAGCAGGGCCAGTACAGCCGCGTGGGGTGCACAGGGAGCTCTGCGAGGTTCCAGCCTGCGCTGGCCCTACGCGATTAAGTGGAGGGCCCCTTGGCCTGGCCCCACCCAGTGCTGACAGTGCCAAGCGTGGGCCGTGGAAGCGGCCCCAGGAGAGGGCCCCCGACCCAGGGTCAGCTCCCACCTGCCCGGCTCCCTCAGACTGAAGGTCAGGCCCTTCCACCCTGCCCTTCCTTGCCTGGTGGAGTGGAGGGCTTACACTGGAATGGGGAGGGACCCAGGCACCCCACCAGGACTCTGTAAGGCAGTGTGGGGTGGGGGGCACGGGCAGCCGTGGCCTTTCGCTATGCCTCTGGCACTAGCCTGGTGCTGGCCAAGGCCAGGACTCAACCAGTCCACCAGCTGCGGGAGTCCAGTGCCCAGCGTGTGCACCAGAGCCAGCCGCTGCGCTCTCAGCCTTGGGGGAGCTGCCTGTAAGTCAGGCTGCAGAGGAGCACCCAGCACCCATTCGTCCTGAGCAGCCAGGTGCTGTCCGGTGCCAGGCACAGGGCCCCTCAGGGCTCTTTGGGACTGGGGAAGGAGGGTGGCATTTGGACCCAGCCAAATCAGAAATTTGATTTCCCACAGTGTGAACTCAGAGCTGGTGTCACTGAGCCTCAGCATCCCGGTCTGTAAAACGTGGTCATGATAATGCCCACCTAGAGAGGCTGCCTGGAGGACCAGTGAGCCCACCTGCGAGCGGGGCTGCCTGCCAGTCAGGGGTGCCCTGTGCATAGCCAGTCCTGGCCCCCGGGATGCCCCTGTAGCACCCCACAGAGTCTCACTGTGTATGGGACTCCCCAGGGCAGGGCCTGAACCCGTGGCCTGCCCACAGCCCTGCCAGGAGCAGGAGGGACCTGGGAGGGGCCCCAGAGTCAGCATGAACCTGCAGGGTACTTGACCCTTGATACTAGCAGGCCCCACAGGGCTGGTCACGAAGGAGCCTGCAGGCCGGGCCTCAGGGCAGACGGGGCACTGGGAGCCCTGGGATGGGCCCAAGGAAGGAGGCACTCGTGTGCGCCCCAGGTCTTGGCTGGCCCAAGGGACCAGGCCCTGCGTCCTTGCTCAGGGGCCGACTGGGCCTCCTCCAAGATGCCCTGGGGGGCGGTGGCTCAGTGAAGAGCAATCAGGCCGTCAGGGGGCCCCCTTATCAGACCCCAAAAGGCTGAGTGTGCAGGCCACTCCCTGGGGCCACTTCTTTAGGCAGGGTCTGGGGGCCCCTGGAGGTGGTGACCCAGGGCAAGGAAGCCAAGGACAAAGTCCAGAGACCGGCAGGTTGGCAATACATTTAATTCTGTCTCTGAGGCCTGGCAGGTGGCACATCACCAGGGGCTGTGGCAGTAGTGGGCAGGGTCGGCCCTGCACGATGGGGACAGGCAAAGGCAGGGGCTCCAGAGTGGCTGCCAGAGGCGGCAGGCCAGGGGCTGGGGGTGCTCAGTAGCCGTCGTTAGCCCAGGTGACCTCGTAGTCGGGGTACTTGGCTTTGATTTTCTCGGTGGAAATGGAGTGCTGGGCAGGACCATAGGCCTGGAGAGAGAAGATGCCCTGGACCCTTCCACCCACATGCCCTGGCTCTGGGCATCAAGCCACCAGCCACAGCAGGAGCAAGTGTGGAAAGGGGACAGACAGTGCCTGGGGACCCCAGAGTGGAGCCGAACCCACCATCCTGACCTCCCCTGGGGGCTCCCCTGGGGGCTCCCCTGGGGAGAGGCGGCCTCTACAGGCGAGCAGACCTTGATGGCAGATCCTTGGGCCTCAGGCACCCAGGGGAGCACATGGGGATCTCACCTGCTGGTGGTTCTGGTGAGAGCGCAGGTGGGGACTCAGCTCCACCTAGGTACTGACACCTCTGGGGCCCAGGACCCAAAGTTCTGGAGGACAGTGAGAGCCCAGCCAGGCCTCTCCGCGCAGGGAGAGGGGATGGAGAGTGGAGGGCAGGCCATGTCTGGGGGCCTTCCTCGCCCCTCAGGTCTGGTGTGTGCTCCATGGGGGAATGTGAAAACACATCCGGCTGAGAGGGAGGGCTCTGCCGCCCACCCTCGGAGAACCCCGGGAAACCTGGGTGCTCAGCTGGGGCCAGGGGTCAGGGCAGCAGGCTCAGGTGGGCCTCCAGGCTGGTGCTGTGGCCTCCCGCGGGCGGGACGGGGCTGCGGCTCACCATGGAGTAGCCGTACACGTGAATCTTCTTGTCCTGGCTCTGGTGGGAGATGCGCCCGCCGCCCAGACACTCACAGTCACAGCCCTGCTTCTGCATGTCACCCGACACTTTGTCGTAGATGTCCGCTGGGATGGGAGGGCGGCCTCAGGACGTGCCCTGGCCGCCCTTGGAGACCATGGGAGGAACTCCCAGCCAGCAGAAGGGGGTCTGAAATCCCAGCTCTGAACAGCCCCTTCCCCCATGGAGACGAAGCCCCTCGAGGCTGGGACAGGGATGAGTGAGAGAAGTAGGGGGGAACCGGGGCGGGCGCGGGGACTGGGAGACGGGTGTGGGCTGGGGGTGCCTGGCCGTGTCACGCCCCTCTCGTCCAGGACCTGAACCTGGGTCAGACCTCGCAGGGGCAGGGCTCGGAGCAGAACCCAGCCCTCCGCGGGCCCACCCCCCGCAGCTGCGGCCCCGCCCCCCGCACGCCGGCAGGCCCCGCCCTCACCATGGTACTCGGCCCACTTGTAGCCGCGCACGATCTCCTTGCTCTCCGCAGCCGGAGCTCCGGAGCGCGGAGCGGAGTGAACTCGGATCAGCACGTACTTGAAAACGCCATCCGAGTCGATGTCCACGTCAGGAATGTGAGCGAGACCGGCCGCCGCCATGTTCTTCGTCCCGGAGGCCCCTTCTCACACCCGACCCGGCACCGCCCGTACTGCGGGAGGCGGGCTCTGGGAGAGCGGCGACCAATCCCGTCGGAGAATGCTGCCGAAAGCGCAGAGCCTCATCCAATTGTGCCGCCGACCGAGGCAGGCGCTGGCCAATCGCAATCCGGTTCTTTGCCTCCTTGCGGCACCAGCAGCCCCGCTTAAAGGGAACGTGGAGCCGGGAATGGGTGGTGATTAAATGCAGCCAACGGAAAAGTTCCTTTCCACTGCGGCCCGGTAGCACCCGTGGACTGGGGCGGTTAGGCGGCCCGCGAGGCTGGGGCAAAGAGGGAGGCCTGAGGGACGTGCGCCAGCCCTGACCTCCTGTCCCGCACGAGTCCCTCTGCCCCCTCCGCCGTCCGGAGGCCTCCCTCTCCCTCTCCCCCCCCTCCACCGTCCGTGGGCCTCCCTCTCCCCC